GGAAAGAAAAGGAAGGGAAAGAAGGAAGGAAGGAAGGAAGGAAGGAAAGAAGGAAGGAAGGAGTGGAAAAGAGAGGGGGGAGAAAAGAAGGAAAGGGAAAAGGAAAGAAAAAAGGAAGGGGAAGGAAGAAAGAGGAAGGGAAAGAAGGAAGGAAGGAAGGAAGGAAGGAGAGCGGAAAAGGGAGGGGAAGGGAGAAAAGAAGGAAAAGGGAAAGGAAGGAAAAAGGGAAAGGGACGGAAAGAAGAGGAAGGGAAAGAAGGAAGGGAAAGGGGAAGAAAGAAGGAAAGAAAAAGAAGAGTGGAAAAGGGAGGGGAGGCGAGAAAAGAAAGAAAGGGAAGAGGAAGAAAGGAAGGAAGAAGAACGGGAAAGGGAGGGGAGGAGAGAAGAGATGGGAAGGAAAGACGGAGGGAGGGAGGGACAGAAGGTTTTGTAAAATTGTAGTAAAGGGCCTTCGGACATCTTCCTCACCCTGCTCCCATTCAGTGAACTTCTCACGAGCCTCCTAACCTGACCTGTGTCCTCCTTGTTCACAGCCAACCCTGGCAAGAAACAATCACCCGAGAAATTAAGGCTGCCATGAAGGTCTCCAGGAGGAAGTTTATGGACCAGCACAACTGAGAGCTGTAAAATGGGTGCAGAGAGGAGGGAAAAGTCTTTGTCTCTGTATAAAGAGTTCATGAGTTAGAAGGGACATGGTAACAGGTCGGCCAACGGGGAGTGGTGGGATTCAAATAATTTAACAAACCGGTTCTCTGCCCGAATGATTTCTTCCGACAACCAGTTCCCCCAAACCGCTCAGAAAGTTAACAACCGCTTCTCCCGAAGTGGTGCGAAGCGGATGAATCCCACCACGGCTGTTTGGTGACTCAGACGCAGGGGGTGAGATTCAGCCGGTTCGGGCCGGTTGGGGCGAACCGGATGTTAAATTTACATCCGGTTCGCCAAACCGGGAGTTGAACCGACCAGCTGGCCCCGCTCAACCCCTCCCAAGAGTCTCAATGCTCAAACTGCGAGTAATGACTACGAAAGGATAACACAAAAGATTTGTAACCAACTGACATGCGGTATGTATATAAAATGGAAGCTGTTTTTATGTTTTGCTTATATGCGTTTGTCTTAAAAAATTAAAAACTTATAAATAAAAGAGTCTCAACGCAGCCCATTTGGGATGCAGGCAAGTGCAGGAGGCTTTGGGAGGAGAAAAACGGCCCTCCCTTAAGTTCTAGAAGTGTGGAAATGGGCCTGTTT